ATTATATTATCGATTGGACATACCCATAGTTCTTCGTTGGGGGAATTAAAGAACAACTGGTGAGTAGTCAAATGGAGAGTCCCAACAGTAGTTGTCTGACCCTTCTCCATATGAACATCCTCAACCTATATGTAGCGAATATCCATCAATGTCATAACATACACGTTTTCCTTCCCTTTATTATTACACAAATACTCGCATAGCATAGTTCATGCTTTAATACACAGTTCTGTTGTCATTATGTCCGCCCTTTTACCCCTCTTCTCAACGTTTACGAATTCACCTTCCAACCTTAGCTATCTTTATGGCGTCCATATTTCTCAAGCAATTGCTCTCAAGCTTTGTCGAGTATAAAAGGAGAGATCAACCAGATTTACAGTGTGTTACGCAAAATTAATATTAATTAAATGAGACACTTTTTTACTTCTTAAAACATTACAATCACAAAGCGCTCTAATTTCACACGCATTCTTTGTTTCCACCTTACCTTAAAAGGGTTTGGGATCAGGATTGTTACTCCGCCATTTTCCTGAATGAATAATTGGCTTTGGTGTTTGAACCGCCATTTATTATTAATTATTTGATTTACCGCCTATACTAAATCCACTTCATGCAAGCATTTTTTGGAAGAGAGCGGATTGGTCTTTCATCTGCTGATACTGCAGACATGTTTTATTGAAATTGTTTATATAATGCATAAGCAATATGGTATACAAACATGTCAATTTATAGTACAAATGTTTATATGTATCATTTTACGTGACGCGAACAGAAATTTTCAGTTACGATCATGTCTGTGAGAAGAATGTGGCCTTGGGAAACTAAACACCATTCGGAATTCAAGCTCAAGCCAGTCGGGTTACATTGTCAAGAATCTTTTTCATGCACCAAGTTAGTTTCACTGTATAAATATTCAGGAGAAGCGCTTGGTTTCATACTACTTTATCGTTATTGATTGTTTACAATATAGTCATGTATAATGTGAATTGTTCTGTATTGGCATAAATCCAACAAATTGCAATCAGACAGATGTGACTGTAACGGAATTTGTTTACTAAATAGTATCTGGTACAAAACTCGCAAGTCTATATAACGGACTAACGCTGGAACGCCAGTCCATTATATTGACTTTAACCGTGTATCGGAACATTAATTATTTGCGGTTGTACCACAAAGTGCACGTCACGTTATTACGTGTCGAGAAACAGGGGTCTCCTGTGAACTTTCCATATACCGGTTCCGGCCGGACGCAGAGAGTCTATGCCAACCCGTCCGATATGAACAGTGTTCCGTTATAGTTTTGTTATTGATATTTAGACCTTAAACTGATAGCGTTTCATTATGTCTAGAAATGTTTACATTTTTTTATTCGATCTTATTACCGTAAAGCAGCATATAATCAAACTACCGAACACTGATAATACGGTTTTAATCATTCATGTGTGTAGTTAATTATATGGGCCATTATATGCTTAAGGTTTCTGTACTAGTTTGATGACAACCTCGCGAACCTTAAAAACGTAGCAAAGCTCCATAAGCTAAAAAATCTAAAAAGGACTGCTTCGATTTGTCATGCTTGGTAGCCTGGTAAACATTAGAAGTTGAAGCGTATAACTGAGTAATTTCAATCAAATATTTTATCACAGTATCATAACTACAATTAACAGAGTTATCGTTTTGAACCCCAATAAGATCCAGCGGAGCATATAACCGGATTTGGCTTGTGTAGTGGACAATGTCTCAATTTAAAATAAAACCCTGGGACGCACACCGCTACAGCGTATGAAAGTAACGACTTTACCACTTGTTAAGGCCAAGAGTGATACCAAAGAAACAAACATAAAATCCGTAAATCACGTTCTTTGATGTGTCAGAAATTATAAAGTATGAGTCTATAACTGTGTTTATTATTTACCCATCTACAATGAATGCAAGCTTCAAGTTCAAACTTGTGGACATATTCGGTCTTTAGATACTATATGAAGAGACGAAAAGTAAAATAATCACCGATCTTGGGTTGTTACAAGTCAATGCCTTTCCTAAGCGGGCTTGTCACCTACGCGATCTGAGACATTTGTCATGCTGCAAATACTGTATAAATATTAAAGCTATGCGTACTGTTACACAGTCATTAATTACACCAAGTTTTTTCCGCGTGCTTTTTTTCTATCAGTCTTTCAACGTATCATGGTCAAGTGGATAGCTACAGCAACAGGGGTCCTTGTTTCTGGGGCTTTTATTTACCAATTCAGGCATGATATTGATAGCAACACGGCTCGAATTAGACATCATTTGCTGACTACACAGAATCATTTGGAAGCGGGCTTACCCGGACACTTAAAGTCTGCAACGGTATGTTTTAGACATGACGGATGCTATATCATCGTTCAAGCCTTTTGTTTTCTTAATTATGTACTGGGTTATACTGGAATTCTCTTAATCCAATCAACCTAACCCCCTTCTTATCATCATAGTCGCTGCCTCCCCCTCCATCAGGTCCCAAACAACTACCTCCTAATGACCGTCCACAACTCCCGCTTCCGTCAATATCTCAATTGCGAACATATATGACCCACAGATTGTTGCCAACCTTCAAGTCTTTATGGAATGACCACATAGCTGGTTTAGCTCGGGGTTTGAATGAATTTACAGCAAAGGACGCCTACAAGTCGGTTACGAATGCTTATGCGACGGTGAAGGATCGGAATTCCGACAGCTATGATAGTAAGAAGGAAGAGTAAGAAATAATAAGACATTGGACTTATAAAAGTATTAAAGTAATTATTATTACAAGAGTTTTGTTGCAACCGAGAGCCAGTGTTGGTCAGTTGGAACCTTTATAGGAGTTGTCAATGGAATGTGTGCCAATCATAATAAACAGTCTATAGATCATTTAATGAGAAAGGTCCTTCTATTTGCAAGGAAACATTTTATATAGTACATTTATTACTTCTTTCCCAACTCATCTGATCTTTCTAGGCTATTGAATTACTTTAACGTTATTACATCTACTTTATTTCATGTCTGTACCACGTGATCAATTGTCGCTTTACTTGCTCTATTCGTAATCATCAAAGGAAACACGTAAGCGCATTCCTGTAGACATCATTAAACCCATCACGGATTCTTTTTCAGTATCTGTCATTGATGGCATGGTAAATGCTTCTAATATCAGACCTGTAAAGAAAATAATAATCATTACCATAAGAATACAATTATAAGGGACATGCTAACAACAAAGTATTGTCATACTTTTGGCCCAAGGACATTCGCGTAAAGCACGGAAATAAATAGCTTTTGCTCTCTCCAAATCCCCGATATGCTTTTCGAAATTAATATATAAACTCCAAATGGCTACAGAATGCCGTGATCTATAGATACAAAGAAATAAAGTAAGTACAAGCTATACGCATATCGGTTAGTAACATTCTCATATGACACTTTACTTTGGACATTCAGCAGCGCGTTCAAATAGCGAACGGATAAAATTTACGTTATAATTTTGATGTCGACGCATCTCCGCATACAAAGCAAAAGTCCATAACACGTGATTAGGTTTGCTACAGACACGTTAGTCAAGTACAACGAATACAGTACAATGACATGCAACGATATACTACACCAAAATTCTACCTTGCAAGTGCTATGTCCAGCTGAGACCTAACGCGTCCGGCAATTTTAGATCTTTCCTCATTGGCTAAATACAATGAAAGAAATATAACATTGCTAGAAAATATAGATAACGCTCGTTCTAGTACATTGCGCAGTACTTTCGGTTGAAATATCGTGCTCGTGTTCATGTGCCAGTATATAAGTTTGACGTATGTGTTATGTGGTGGTCAAGGATCCAATTAAAAGAAAAGATAGATAACTTTTTCCGATCCGTCATACTCTTGGTAACAACCAATAAATTCAATAAAGGATATGCAATGTACGTCAACTCGCAGTTAACGCTATCTAATTCCCCTAAAGTTTCGAATAAGCTTATTAGACGGTCAAATACTTCACACGCTTTTTCCAATCCTGAATTAAGGTATTGCATCAAAGCAAAGCAGCAGCAGCGCTCCAATTGTACTCGCGCGTCTGTTAATGTTGAGAGTGATGCCAACTGTTCCATTTGTTGTTCATAAGACTACGATAGCAGAGAACGAGGACATCAGAAATAATACATAAAATCATAAATGTTCATACAAAATGTCATATACATACTCTTCGAGCCTTCAACAACTTAACCATGTTTGGTGCATTTGTCAATATCGTATCTAAAAGGGAAATCGACTGTTAGAGACTACAGTCTACATTTTGGGTACCAAATCAACTAACGCACCAAAACTAGTAGTGAATATAGCTTCTTCGCTTTGCAATTGAAGGATGTCTGTTAAAAAGCCAGTCAAGGAATCCCACTATCAACACCAATTAAATATGTGTCATAGTAAACGAATACGTAAAAGGATACTTAGGGCAGCAGTTCTCTCTCCCTGTTCTATTTCTAATTCAGCAAACATGCGATAAAGGAAAGGAGCATCGATTTCGTATTCTTTGCCATAGGAACGCCCCATGACAATTGCAGTCTTATATATTTCACGGGCCTATCAATCGAGATGAAGTACATATGGATCAGAGGAGAGCAGAGAAAATAATAGAATATAAGAGAAATGTAAATACACAATACTTTGTCGATATTTCCTCGGGATTTTTCAAGTTGCGCATACCAGTTCCATAGCAATAAATTTGAACGATCAGTATTTAATAGCTCTTTCGCAGACTTTACTCTATAAGAATGAAGGTATTGAATATACGCTATTAACAACCTTCAATATTTCACAGTGGCAAACATGCATAGCTATTTTTTTCAACAACTGACCCTTCAGAGCCACTAATAAAGTGAGGTGGCACCAAATTCCAGACATGCACTCCAATGTTCTTTGCAATATTTTTCAGTTGCACAAAAGCTTCTCTATGAAAACACAGAAATCTCATTAGTCAATCTTCTATTGATACTGCCACACTTTGTTTCAAACTTACCCGGCAAATTCCACATCCGCATTACTTATATCCAAATCATCGTACATAGCAAACCACTTCCCATTATTAAATAAGTTATCAACTTGCTGAGGGAAAGCTTTTATTGGGAAATCCAAATATTTCCATCCCAGACCACCCCTTTCTTTTGTCTTGTTGTCCATCGTTCCAACCGCAGCATCCTCATCATCCGGCTCGCCCAAAGCATGAAAGAATTTGTTCTTCATTATAATCTCATGTCCCGCTTCGTAATGCAAAAAAGAGTCCGTAAAGAGACTGTGCTTTGAAACAATACAAGGATTGAAATTCAGACCAAGATAATTGAAGCATCCATATATCAGTTGCGTCATTGCTGTCTGCGTTCTGACGGGGAAAATATAATTCCGTATATCATCAAATAGGACTAGTCGAAAAGGATCCTCGGCAGAGGCATCCGCGTCGGCAAGAAGGTCGTCAGTACGCAAAGAATAACGATATACGCTATCGAGTGCTCGCTCCTGATGAAGCCACGACGTGAATTTGTCTTCAGATGAAGGAAGAGACTCGAGATTTATTGATGAAGTTGTTTGTGGTAAGATTGTCGAATCCTCTAGCAAACATTGTTGTGACCAGATTAGAAGGCGTTCGGAAAATAAAAGTTAAATATATGATATTATTTACCGCCGTTGTGATAAAACGACCATCCCTTTGCGCCCTGTCAGAAAGTAAATGTGTATTTAGCCTGCAAAGAATGGTAAATCAGTTGTTGACTCCTCGTTAATATGCACCTTCTCTCCAAAACGTGGCTTCTCACTTCCCCAAAATTCTTCCAGTGCCTCTATGATATCTTCAAAATTAGATGAGTGTAATTCTTTGGGTGCAAAAAAGGTTATTTCCATCATTGCTTGCCAACAAGCATATGCCTTTTCAGTAAATCCTACAAATAGTGTGAGAGATAGTTTGATAACAAATTCATTGCACAAACGTGTGCCTCATAAACGTATTCTCTAGGTACATACCTGAATCTCTTAGGAAAAAGCAGACACGCATAAAGACGCGTAACAAAGCCAGCTCAATGCGTTCAGGGTCTATAATGAGAAGACCATCGTGAATATAGATGCTATTCATACAATTGTATATTTAGACATGTTTCACGCTCAAATTACCTTCGTGTAGTTGTTGTTTCAGCACAGCAATACAATGGGCGTAAGCATCTTCACAATTCTTCACCGTGAACCCACTGAGAAGTGTCTGTCTAAAGTCAATGTACTCCATCCATAAAGACACTGACTGTGAATTTGTTGCCATGACTTCATCCCATTTTCCAAGCAGTTCTGGTGTCCTATAAATATGCTTTTTATATATCAGGACTCAGTAATAATGTTGTTAATAACATACAATGGGCTGAGCTACATACTTCCATAATCTCTCAGCACACTTGAGATAGCCCAGCAATAACTTCTCATTACCGGGATTAGCAGTTAGAGCTTTTTCATAAATACTGAGTTTGACTTCATTGATACTAGAAGCCGTGGCACTAGATGTTAACTTCTTGCCTATCTGCATTGCCTTATCTTGGAATTCGATAAACTCAATCCATAAATCAACGTCTTGAGAATGCTAAATGTGCAGATTGTTAATAATAATAATAAAATATAAATAGTAAACACTGATGTATGAATATAAATTATTTACTTCTGCCAATTGCAGCGTATATTCTTTGATCTTTTGGCGGACCAACTTGTCCTGAGGCGCAATTTCTTCGACTTCAGTAAATAGCACATTTGTATCTCCATCGTTAGATTTTGTTCCCAATGTAATATCTCGGTAATCCGGGAGGATACTGTCTTCTGTCTGCTTAGTATCTTCATCATCATCCAGTGGAACAAAATCATTAATCCAGAATGGTGTGGGATCGTGTGATTTCCGTATTGGAAGTCTGCATTATCCGCAATATATGTCAATAGAGAACTGATAATACATAAGTCTATATAGCAATATTCGAAACCTTTCTGTTTCACGCCCATTATCCATTGGTGCTAGTATTTGATGCATATACCGCGTATTCTATTCAAATAAAACAAAGTTTATTTAGCCATGAAATGTCTCTAAAAAAGCATATGATTGTACTGTTTCCACATACTTTCTTATCTTTCTTTGAGTAGTAAATATCTTCGATAATCTCGGCAGAACCTTCGTGCCTCTTACGACTTATTCTATAGTTTGGAGGCAAGCCAAGAACTTTCCCTCCTGTACAACAATTCACATTGAATTGCGTTATATAACACGCTCAATTGCATTCTGCGACATTGTTAAAGGAATGACCGAAATGCATTACCTCCAGAACGACGGTATCGTGGTACTTCATACTTGTAAGTACCACCATAAACAAGATTATTCGTGTCTCCTCTTCGATCAATAAAATAGGTTCCAGTATCTAAAGAAAATCTTATAAGAATGCGCAAACATTAGTTCCAATCGAAACATCTGCTCAAGATGCATTTCTAAAGTACCTCTCAGATCGAGAAATGTCAGTGGGCTTCTTTCGAGTCTACACAAGGCATGTTATTGATGAGTATCAGTATCGCTAACAAAATAGGTTGGACAGATCAATTAAAATTTCTGCCATACCTTGTCTTTATCTTCTTTCCTATGCTTTTTATCCTTTCGTTTTCGATCGGATTTATCTTTACGTCGTTCCCGACTGCGGTTTTTTCTTCCTTTCGATCTCGATCTGTCTTTCCGTACATGTTCTTCCTTACGACTTTTATATCGATCATCGTCCGAAGAGTAGGAAGAGGAAGAAGAGGAGTAATGTCGACGTTTTTCACGACGAGTATGTGGCGCAAGTCCTCCACCCGAACTAGAAGACTGCGAAGGGAGGCTAGGAAAAGAGAGAAACTTGGGAACGTTCTCTGAAGGAACTTCTTGATCCGAAGACATGAATACAACACATGAATTTGAATTGGGTGAAGGTTAATATTAATATTGGTTTGGTTTCGTGTAACTACGGCACCAAAAGAGGAAGGATCCCTAGTTTTGGATATATCGATATGTGGCATGCCCTAAAAAAGGGCAGACTTGTGTCCCTTAAGCCACGCAAGCCACATGATTAAAGTTAATATACCATAAACAGCTTTAGCTATTACCGTTACCGTCTAAATAGACTCTTTCACCAGCATATTAGTAAATGAACAATTTCCATTCATTGATCCCGTGGGAAGAGAAATCAAAGACATGATTAAAACATTCACTGCTTCATCAGCTAATGTCTGTACTTATTTTCCTCCCTCCGATATTGTCAAAGAAATCTTGTTTATCTGTGGGCCTATTTATTGTATATTGGTAATTGGTATAATAATAATAATAGAAAAATTGGAAGCTTTTTGCTCGATATTCTTATCCGACCTATAGCAAAAACCACAATGATTATCGAGTCACATTGGCGAGTTCTCAAATATAATTACAAATATAGCTATAACAGACCTCGTCTCGATTATTTGAACCATATCATAACGCGCCGCTTGCTTCCGGTGATACTAATACAATGGAGAACTTTAAATTTCCAATCAGAAAGCTTGTTACAACAGAAAGCTCGACCAATAATTTATCAAGATTTGTGTGGCTTAAGGGACACGAGTCTGCCGCGAAAATTTTTGTTATGCCTGTTTCTCCAGGCGGAAAAAGTAAGTTGGTTACTGCTGAAGGGTAAACTGAAAGCGAAACTACTTATACTTCCCTAATGTTTGCTATCAATAAGATTCAGAAGATTTTGACTACTTCAAACAAAGTTGAAAATGAAAACCCCTTCCTATTCCTTGACTCCTCACCTACTGAAATCACAACTGCTGATAATTTTGTTCAAGATGAAGATTATAAGCACCCAGATGTTTGTTACATCATTGAACTTGTTCGCTATATGTAAGTATGGGAATTGTAATTATTACATGTAATAGTCACTGGTATTTTGGAATAACTGAATATTCATGTAAGTAGGTATAATATGATTGATAGAAAAATACCACAATGAGAAAATTCAGAATGAGTAATATATTAATGGGCTTTTTAGGTACATTTTTGGTGTTTGGATGATTAAATATAAACTTATTACGGCATCAAAATCAATGACGATTAATTTAAATTTTGTGTATTTTTTTGATATCCTTTTTGATCACTATTTAGCTTTCTATTACTGTGAGAGCATCCGCTCTACTTGTTGATAAAAACTTATTATGACGTCAAAATCAATAACGATTTATTCATGTTTGGTGTATTTTTTGATATCCTATTTGATTACTAATTAGTTTTCTGTTACTGTGAGCACATCCTCTCTATTCGATGTTTAAAACTTATTGCGACGTTAAAATCGATGACGATTTATTTATTATTTACGTTTGGTGTATTTTTTTGTATAGCATTCTGGTTCAATCGATACTTAAAAGGTCCAAGAACTTTGCCAGCCTCGGCATAGATAAAATTTTATTTCAAAGAAATGACACTTTGTGTCTAGGACAATTTTGTCGTATTTTTCGAAAATGCTATTTGATCGCTAATCCAACTAAATTTTTTGATATTCGATTTGTTTACAATTTTAGCAGAATAAAATAAGATATAAGAATTCTTTAGGCTTTTTATTAATAAACAGATAGTAAAAAATAGGTATTCGCCAGCCTCCAGCATAGATAAATTTTTATTTCAAAGAAATGACACTTTGTGTCTAGGACAATTTTGGCGTATTTTTCGAAAACGCTATTTATTGACACTATATGTCAGCTCTTGTTGATTTCCAGGCCCTATGGGTGCTCTCTTTGAGTATCTGAAGTTGCCGAGCATAGAACTGCAAAACGTAATAACCTTTTGCATATTTTTTTGCAACGTCCACAGGCGGAAGTCACTACCACTGCATAAAACACGTTTTTTGCTCTCATGGCACCCTTCAAGACGTCGGCATCCACGTCCGTAGATTTCTCCAAAATTGTGTATACATTCGCATGTATATTTACCCTGCATTTCGATAAATTTATATAACTGAATTAATTATTTTAATTTAAACAAAAGATCTTTATATTAATAAAAAACATATTATTATGGCTAGGATACTTAAATGTCCAGGTTGTGATCGAGAAGTAAAACCCGAGATCTTAATAAACACATGAATTTAGATAAAAACCTTCGTAAAGGTCAATGTTTACCGGCTTTGCAAAACCCAGCCCCAGCTCCAGTAGGAAATCCAGCTAATGCTGAGAACCCAACCCCGGTGCAAAATGCGACACCAGCTGAAAACCCAATTTCGATGCAAAACCAAGCCCCAGCACCCACTCCCGAAGGCGACTTCATTTCGTTCGATGAAAATCCGTCGATGCACCAGCCAAGAGAGGCAAGAGAACCGGCAGTCGACTTTTTAACCAATGATATCCCAAATATTGGATCTGTATCAAGTTTTAATACTCAGGAAGAACAAAAAAAGAAATCAATTCTAACGATAGATGAATTAATAAAATGGCTATCAAAACAGAAACAAAAAATAATAAAAAAATTAGATCAAAACCTATACGTAAAACTGACAAAGAATGGTTTGATTTAATGGAGTCAGACGATAATAAAGATAGTGAAGTGATTCAGAATATAATACAGCAGATGAAGATCCCATCGTCTATTTTGAAAAAATTATAGATCCCTATATTAATAGAATAACAGAAGCCAAAAAATTAGATGAAGGCAAAGTATGTGATTACCATGCATTCATACCAAAAGGATACTATTACTATGCCAAAAATAACTTTTAGGTTTCTTTGAATCAATCGAAGAAAAGATTGCTGATGTTTATAAGCTTTAAAAGGTGTATTAAAGGTGAGAATTGAATTAAATGCATATATGAAGAAAATTACACCGGGAAAATTAAGATAATGATATTAATATAAAACTTTCCATTCAAACATGAAACAATAGAATTTATTAGAGAAGATCGAATTAATGCAGCAATAGAAAAAGGATATAATGATTGCAAGAATCGGGATGGTCTTTTGTTTGAGCAGAAGAAGTATTTTTAGAAATAAGCGCTTTTAGACCATTACGTGGAAGTATTTATTTACCTTTACCAGAAGCTTTGGATAAACCTCAACTAGAATTAATTAATCCGCAAAATAATGATGATAATGAGTGTTAAGTGGTGTCGAGGCAATAGTCATGGGAGAGCGGATAACTACTGTCTCGGTTTGGGATCTAGCTGCGCCGTCGTAGGAGTGT